GTTTTCACTAAGGAGTATTTATCTAATCGCTCAATCAAAAGACATCCGACCATCTCTTCAACATCGAAAAAGACCATTGGGAGATAATTCGTGACTGTGTCAAGAGGTTCAAAGCAGAGAAGGCCAAGATTGTTGGCTACAACGAGGACATAGCAACGGCAACATTCAGAAATGGGCTTCCTACCGAACATCCTTTATTCGGAAAACTGATCATGGGAGAAAAACTGACCTTAGCAACTTCGTATGCTGTGGCAGAAAAAGCATGCACTATGGGACGAGGCTAAGCAGTCTAACAAAAACAAGTAGGAAAAGAAGCACATGGAACATTCCCCAACCAAAGAAGATTCGACGCCTCAAACATTCACCAAGTTCACAGTTCCAATCGACCAAATTCTCTGCAAACTCAAGAACGAACCTTGGTTCAAACTGCTGCCACCCATGAAAGGCGATCTTACCAAGCTAGATCATACAAAGTATTGCGCATTCCATCAAAGACCAGGCCACACTACCAATGACTGCCTGATGTGGAAGCAATACCTTGAGAAGCTGACAAATGAGGGCCGATGCGATGAGTATCTTGACAGGTTAATGAAATGGCCTACAAAAGCAGGGGAAATCTCTATCACCCCATGAACCTTGTTTGGGCTTTTCTAAATAAGTTCGAAGTCTCAAGCAGCTAGACGAACAAGGCCTCGTAAGCCGAAGATTATCCAGTTTGTTATGCAGTTTCTACACAGTTGATTTATTTCTTTATTCTCAATGAAGATTCAAGAAGTTACTCATATGCTTGGCTTAACTGCTGTCTACAACAACTGCTCAAAACCCTTTATGGATCTAATCTCCAGTGTGAGAGGATAAACTAATTGCTCTTTAGTGCGAGAGGGTAAACCAATTCTCCGACACCCATATGGGTCTGTTCTCCAGTGTGAGAGGGTAAACTAATTCCCCGACACCCATAAGAGTTTGCTTTCTAGTGCAAAAGGATAAACTAATTGCTCTTCAGTGCGAGAGGGTAAACCAATTCCCTGACACTCATATGGGTCTGCTCTCCTGTGCGAGAGGATAAACCAATTGCTCTCTAGTGCGAGAGGGCAAACTAATGGCTCTCCAGTGCGAGAGGGTAAACTAATTCCTCAACACCCATCTGGATAAGCTCTACAGTGCGAGAAGGCCACATAGCTAAAAAGATCAAATGCTTGAAGATCAACTAGGCAACAAATGGTCAGGGGGCAATAGCCAATTTTGCACTTAACAGTTCGCTCATCTGACACTTCATCTTCAGTAGCTCCGATCTTGGCAGCTGAGAAATCAAACTCAAGCAGTTTCCTCATTTTTGGCAAGCAGCCCAAACCGTTGCCCATGCCACGCCACTTCCTTGACCCATGCCGAGCCAATCTTTGGCTTGAATCAATCTGAGCATCACAAGCAATGACCCCTGCCACACCACCTCCTTGGCCCATGCCAAGGCAACTCCTGGCCCCTACCAGCTAATGTGCCGCACCACCCTAACGGCTACTTCATGGCATCACCTCCCAAGAAGAAGACAAGGAGAATTATGTTTTTCTTACATCGGTGCGGTGCGAAGAAGACAAAGAAATCAATGGAAGATGATTCTTTGCACGGGTAAGCAAAGAAGAGTGCTAGGGGAGGGGAACAAATATCTTCTAGCTTTCTCTCTTTCTTGTAGGATAAATAATTACCCTCCGAAGTTGATTTAATCCCCTACTTAAGGTAGGCTTGAAGGTGATTTATTTTCCTTTCCTAGATGAATCTAGTTCCAAGTCCAAGAGAGAATCTACATTAAAGTTGGAGATCTCTACACCTACTGCCATTTCTTGCGAACAGCTCAGCAGGTGTGGGGGCATTTGTGGAGCTAAAAATAACCAAGAGACAACACGTGGATTTTTGGGCAAAAAGGACAAAATGATCCTTGAGGAGCACCAGAATTCTCATGCACGAGCAGTGGACAATCATCCCACAATCAAGTCAAAAGTGCCCAAAATAGGTATTTATTCAAAACCTATTTCATCCATCTTCTCCACAAGGTAACCCCCAAAACATTCCTTTTAACTTATGTTAATTAGCTAATTAATAGATTTATTACCTAATTAATCTATTAATGGCTAATTAACTACAAAATACACTCAAAAACACCACAAAGGGCCAACCACCTTCTCCCCTCATGCCCTATATATACTACCCCATTTTCTCTAAAAACCTAGGTCTACACTCTTGCTAAATACTCAAAATTCTCCAAACACTTTTTCTCTCAAAATTCTAACTTTGGCATCAGAGGTTCTTCAGCCAAAGCCCCCCCCTCCCCCCCCCCCCCCCCCCAAAAAAAAAAAATTCATCATGGGCGCGTGAGGCTCTTGGCCTTAACCTAAGGTGTTGTTTGTTTTGTAGGTGCAATTTTGTCCAAGAACAAGGAGGAAGAAATTTGCATCCACAACGCTCATTGACATTGCTTAGTCATTTATCTTCTTTTCGCGCTACACTTTCTTTTATATTATAATTAATTAATTTGTTGTGTGTAAATGATTATGTACTTCTTATTATTTACAAAAGCGGTCAAATAGTTTTTTCATTTAAAATACTAAAAAGTTGTTGAGAAAAATATAAAAATAGTGCTAATAATGACTCAATTTGTATTCCATTAAATTTATTTTAATATGTGTAAAGTTTATATGATAAGGTCAAAATAATAGTTAACAAACTGAAGAGCAAACCCTCGAGTACAACCGTTCCTTATAGAATCAAACTGAAGAGCATGAAGAGCAAATGAAGGAATACAATGATCCCAAATATGACAATTAGTAATAAGAAGGCCTTGGCGAGCGAAGTCATCTGCCACAAATGTTAGCCTCTCTATAAATATGCTTTGGGGTCCATATATTTTGCTTTATGCTTACTATGTAAGTAACCTCATGTGTATATTTACTTTGATGATGTCCTTTGTTGGCTTTTGCCCTAAAATGCCATTTCTAGTTTATATATAAAAAAATAATTGAATAAAGGGACAAACAAAAGCTTTATTTTTACTCACTTGAAATAGAAAGGGCATAACAACAAGTTTACACTAAGGGTTGAGGAATAAATTGGTTGCCAACTCGCTATTTCTTAGATTCAAACTTAAGTTCTCTCACTTATAAGTGAGAAAAAAATATTATTAAATCGTAGGACTAAGACCATTTTAAATAGAGATGACTAAAGAGTTAAAAAGCCAAAGTATGGTCTGAATTGGACAAAATTCATCTCCAACAAAAAATTAGGCTAAAAATTAATGGAGGCCACAAGTCAAAACATAGCTGAATAGCTATCCGGCTGGCTAAAGTTGGCCTGATGCCCAGTCTATTTGTTAGGGCCCGTCGTTTGCTATGTCCAAGACTTCTCTTTGTGTGAATGGTTTTAGACTTGATTTTCATATGGGATTTTGGGGTTTAAACGAATTTAATATTTGTTAACTAGCACAGTCTTTGTCATTTTCTGAGGAGCCCAGGTGAGAAGATTTCTATATATCTCTAGCTCGTTTTTAGAGAGATGGATGATACACCACAAACTTTTTTTCTCTTCACTATGAGAGACCTCCGGAGTGAGCGATTTTCTCTCTGTTGTGAGAGTCCAAGCACGGCTGTGCATTTCAACCTCAGGTTAGTGAGTTTGTGTTTTAGGGTGTTGGTTATCAAGGGAGCAGAATAAAGACACGTGTTTGGAATTTCGATATGAAAGACTGCAGGATTTTTGCTATCGATGTGGGAAAATAGGTCATGCAAACATTGAATGTTCTTTTGCTGCTCTAAGGGGCGACTTTGCTGGCATTTGAGAATGGATGAGGCAGCTCCGATAAGGGAAGTTATGGAACCTCCCAAACAGCTTACCATAGGGATGAGGGAAAGAAGATTTGCAGGTGTTGTTCGACAATGCCGGATGGGAGACATGCAGGGAGATGTCGGCGCAATTTAGCAAGGTATTAGTGGGGATAGTGGTAGCAGTTCCATGAGTAGGATTGAGCATGGTTTTCCATCGGCTCCTAGTAAGGAACGTAAGCAATGGCATCGGTTGACAAGGGCAATGGTGGAGCGAGAGTCACTTAGGTCTCAGGGGACGGTGATAGAAGGATCCTCGGAACCGGTTTAACATGCTTCCGAGAGTTTTTGGTTGGACTCCTCAATGCAGGAGCACATATCGACTATTCAACGTAGTTATGGGCGAATTCCATCAGTGATCATTGAAGAAATTCAAGTGGGCGAGGAGGAACGGGGGAGCATGCGGAACTTTACCTTAAGGGGGAGGCTGAGGGCAGTCAAATGAAAAGGGGTGCTGATTCTGAGGCCATGGAGATTATTTAGTCTCCTTAGAAGAAGTTTAAGAATATTGAAAGTAATGAGAACCAGAAGTGAAGAACGGCTGAACGCTTACGGAAAATGAGTATCAAGGAGTGCTGCTTGATGGTGGAGCGAGCCATATATGCTAAGGAAGACCTCCAGGAAATCCCTTTTGAGTACCAAGATATGTGGGAGTATATGGAGTTGATATTTGAGCAAGAAAAGGAAGCACTATTAGCACGTAAGGAAGGTAAGTCAATGCATGGTGGTGGCGGCTGGCCTACAACAACCGCACGTTCACCATGAGTTACACTTTCTGGAACTGCTGTGGTCTGGGGTCGAAGAGGGCCTAAGTGGCACAAAAGATTTTATTAATCAATAGTATATATAGACTTCTTTTTTTTTTTTATTTGCATATATAGAAAACTTTTTTCTTAGAGAATAAGAATTTTGAGGAATAATATTAATATGACACAATTGTTAATATATTAGATTATTCATTAAACAAAATTAGCTTAAGATTTAGCCCACCCCATTTCTAATCCTGGTAATATTAATATGACACAATTGCTAATATATTAGATTATTCATTAAACAAAATTAGCTTAAGATTTAGCCCACCCCATTTCTAATCCTGGTTTCGTCCTTATATATACAGATATTTGCCCACATCACTTTAATTAATATATTTCATATCCAAATAAAAGAGGATATATATAGAATTTCTTACAGCAACAGAGAAATCAAAATCAACATCACGTATAATACGAAAATAACAATATCTCACTAAAATAATAATGGGAAGCCAATCAATTGTTCAGTACTTATTCAATTTCAATGAATTGAAAAGATAGCCAAACCCATTTTGGAAATATATGGTTTTAGAAAATGCCTTTCATATTATCAACTGCATTTATTTGATTAATTTTTTTTTTCTTCTGTTCAACTTCCAATCTTCGCCGTTTCAATGTGTGATTTCCCCTTAAGTTTCCCCTTCTTCAAGGAACTACCCAGATAATCTCCGTACTTGACCTTCTTGTACTTCTGGGACCCAGATAACTCCACTATATGACCAAAAGGTTCAACTTCCACCTCTGCGTGTGGCAAAATGAATGATGCATAAGATATCCTCGACTTGCTTTCGGTTGTCACAGCTCTATGTTCAATGCTCCTGTACTTCCCATTACTCCATATCTGTCACAGCCAAAAGAAAATTGAAGCTTAAAGAAAATTTTGTACTCCTTATGTTATAGTTCAATGAGAAATTTTAGGTGAGTAGTTGTTGGCATTGCTTAGTTTACCTCCATAACATCTCCAACATTAACAACGAAAGCGTTTGGAATTGGCTTCACGGGCACCCATTCACCTTCTTTTCGAATTTGTAATCCGGTTACATTGTCTTCTTGCATGAGAATGGTTATGGTGCTTGTGTCCGAGTGCGGAGAAAGACCTAGTACTTTATCAGGCATTTTGCATGGAGGGTAGTAGTTTGCGCGCAAAACTTGGATCACTTCTTGATGAAGATTAAGAAGAGCATCCTTTTCCATCCCCAGAGTTGAAGATAGACACCTTAGGAGCTCATCTCTAATTCTTTTGACTCCGCTTGAATATGCCTCAATAGTTTCCCTTCATCAACCACATGACATTTACCAATTCAATGAAAGTTATATGTTAAAATAGAGTTTAGCTATACAGCTGCACTTTCACTTGTACGTGGTGACTTGTAATTGTTGATGTGTACAAGATCGCGTGCATGTTGGGTGTGAGATTCACAACGTTTGGGTGATTGATGGGTGGCTATAGCTATGACACTTACAAGTACGTACTTAAATTTTCTACTCCCATTAACGGTGATTAATTAGTCACCCCTCTTTGTTTCTATGTTAATTAACACTTCTTTTGTGTAACAACTCATATGTATTGCTTACACATAACCCAAAATAATAATCTTTTACAAGATACTCAGATTGTTTAACTTTGATTATAAGATCTACAGCCTACTTTTACCTTTTACATAATTACTGACCCAAAATCATTGGGTTAAACGCAATGGTTTAGAGTCAAAAGTAGGTGTACATTTTAAACTACTTTAAATTTAAGAAAAACATAGTGATTTTTATTTTAGTTCCTTATTAAAGTTAGTAATTCTTTTTTCAATGGTTAATTTAGATATTGCATATAGAGATCTAATGGATCTTGCAACTGTTAGATCTTGCATAAACCATACCACTGAGTGACATATAACATTGTAGCCATACTCCAAAGTTATAAAATTTTAACATAATGAAACTCAATTTCATTATGATTGAACATATGACAGGAATGTCTCATTTTGATTCATTAAAGCATCTCCAAGAAAAGATCTAAATTCTTGTTAATCTAGCAAGTGAATAAGGTCAAAAAACTATTTTAGCTACTCAGTTTAACTTTTCATCTTTTAGCAACACTCTCTATTTCAACAAACTTTGAATATTTTATTATTAACAATTCAAACTCAACCCACTCCTTTTCTAAAACACCCTTGTCTCTTCCTTTTCTCTTTGCCCAAGGGTCCATCTTGAGTTTTATTTTTTATTTTTTAATATTTAGCAAGTGAACGGTTGCTCCCTAAATTTAAAGCGTGATGTTTCATTTTGCTATATAGAGAATCTTTTATAGCTAGGGGTGGTTTGGTACATTACTAGTACCAAAACCTCTGTATCAATTACCATACCAAATATTTGGTATGACAAAATCTATTACCATTACCATACCAAATTTTTGGTATATTGAACATCGGTATACCAAATAGTTTGGTTGGTATGGTATGTCAATGGTAATTGTCACTTTGTTTTATGCCACTTAGTTTGCCCAAAATCTAATATTTTTTAATTAATGTAGAAGTCTAAAAAATATATAAACGCTCGTAATGACAAGCTTTACCTACTTTCGTGAAGAGCTTAACTTTGAAATTCATCATTATAATCATATAAATCATAGATCAAAATTTAACCGTTGATTGTTGTGTACATTTACGCTTCATTTTTCTCATCAAATTTTGTTTTTTTTCGGATTTTCTTTTTTGAAAACATGATCCATTAGAGGATATAGGAAAATGAACGGTTTGGATCGTTAATATTATGTTCAGAGTTTTACGGTTAGTGAAAATATTGCTTGATGTTTATAAAGTTTCTACAAACTATATGGCATCGACTCATATTTCAGTTAACCATAAATATCAAAACGTGGATATCAAAGATCAGAACTGTTCATCTTCTTACATCCGCCAGATGATCATGTTTTCAAAAAAGAAAATTTTAAAAATGAAATTCAGTAAGAAGAATAAAGTGTAAATGACAATCGACTATTAAATAGAAATTTAAGGTTTATAGATTATAGTGTTGGATTTTGAAGCTGACCTCTTTATGAAAGTTGTAAAGCTTGTCACTATGAGTGATTGTATATTTTTTTTACATTTTTTACACTTTTACAATAATTATTATTAATTTTATTAATTTTGCCCTCAAATAATTATATGAATAAATACATAATATAATATTAATAATATTGGTAGGTATGGTATACCACCGGTACTATTTTTGGATACCAGTACCTTACTGAAACAGTATGGTACAGTACAAATACCGTACCATTACCAATTGGTACAAATTTTTGGTAATAATTTGGTATAGTATGGTTGGTAGGGTGGTTGGTATGGTAATTTGGTAAAAATTTCCACCCCTATTTATAGCATCTTTTTTAGATAATTTTTTTTAACTTGGTTCTTTATAACAGAGTGTTCGTTATTTTAGGGCATCTCTTGCTCTTAGATCTCTTTATTTTCTTTTAAAGCACTCATTATATCACATTCCTATTAAAGTACATCAACATCCACTAGTGTTTTCAAATTTCTTGAAACATTGGGTAGTCTCCATTTTTCCCTAAATTAAGTTTAGAAACATACTTGAATCCCTCTGGTGCGGTTGGCCATAAGTTAGGCCTTCTGTACTGTGTTGGATAAATACTGAGAAACAGTGCATCGGACCAGTCCAGTGTCTGCCCTTGTGTAACCGCATAGGCTCGCCCGTAGCCTTGAAAGTTATCTGGTGGCATACGAATTTTGTTCTTCTCTTCCAACGGAAGTTCAAAGAACTTGGCCGTAGCATCCTTCATTTCCTGCAACACTTCTGTTGCCACTCCATGATTTATCACCTGCGCACAAAACGTTCCATTATATTATAGCATGAACTTAAGTGTCCATTACTTCCCGAGAAATGTTCTCTTATCAGACAGTTGAACATTATGTTGCCAAATGTGATTATTGATAGACTCATTTTTTCAGGAACTTGCATGCTTCATATTTAGGTCTGACAACATAAACACGACTCTGACCCAAAAGAAAATGAAAATCCAAGTATACGATGATCACCTGAAAGAACCCCCATTCTTCACAAGCCTTGTCCAGTTTGTGAAGCTCCTCCTCACTTCCTCTCGAGAGGAGAGAAAGATCAATGATTGGGATCTCAGAAGAAGGATTATATTTGTCGGCAGTGCTCTGTAGCTTGTCTTCTTCTTCCTCATTCCCGATAAGGAAACTTTCAGGGACCTGCAGAGGATCATTCCTTACCAGTTCTTGAACATTTGGTACAGATTCCATATCAGAAAACCAAACTCTTGTTTCACAGAGGTTGGCTTCAATGTTGGAGGAGGATAATGAAATGAGGGGTTATGATATTGTTTTGTGAAGATGGCAATTTATGGAACATATGTCTTGTGTCACTGTTCTGCGTTAGGTAGAAATGCTTAGACACCACTCAATTTGTTGTAGGATTAGTTTGGTACTGTTGTGTTTTTTTTCTTATGAGAATAAACAGCTATAAAACAAAATTGTTGAGATGTTTGGTAAACTTTTTTTTTGTAAAAGTGATTTTAAAAAAAGCAATGTCTGAATGTTTGGTAAACTTTTATATAAAATGCTTTGAATATGATAAATGACTAAAAAGAGTATGATATTTAATGTGATATAATAATTGTCAAAGACAATAATGTAAGGTAAATATATTTTGTAAAACATGTGGGGGTATACTTGTCATTTGAAAATTTCATTAAAGAGCATTGATTATTATGCAGCATGGTAGACTCTGCTGTTGTTTTTCTATGTTTTTTTTTACTTTCATTGACAATAGTTTTTTTTAAAACACTTTTTTTTTGTTTTATCAAACACATTTAATGTTTCAGATTTTTTAATAAACTGTTTTTTTTTTTAAAGCACCGCAATCACAAACTAACCTGTTTTGGCTAAAATACGAAGATATTCTTGATTGAAAGATGCTTTTCATCTTTTAGCCTTTTGTCTATTCTAAACAAATTAAAACGTGGGTTTTCATTACAAATAATTTCTGAAATAAAATTATTTAAAATAGTTAGCTAAGTTTTATTAGGAAATTATTATTAGTATTCTAGAAATCTTATCTAACATTTCAAATTTTTTATAATTAAAAATTAAAATACACTTGTGAGAAGTGTATAATGAAAATTTTAAAATACTAATAACATTTTTTTTTATTATTGCACATCAATGTTGTCCCTATTATACATCTAATATTATCACATAATTTTGGTGGCTCGTGGAAAGGTAGGGGAGGAGGTGGATGGTGTCCAATGCGTGGCCAGTGGAAGGGTTAGTGGCTGCAGGTCTGTTCCAAGCTTTCGGTGGATCGAGACGGAAAGTCGATGGGACCTTATGACACATTGTCTTCACATGACTGTTTTGTGGTTGCATTGCATATATGCTCCTTTTTCTCTCAAACATAATAGTTTCATTAAAATAATAGGGTAACACGAGATGAATTAAATTTAAACTAGTAAATTAAATGATATAGAAGTTGATGATTGAATTATTACTTAAGTGTTGACTAACGTAATTATTTTTTTATTGATGACACATCATTTAGTTTGTAAATTTTATTGGAAAATTTGACATTACTCCATGAAACTATATTTTCCTTAACTAAAACTCATCTCCTTTTGTTTTCTTGACTAAAGCCCATTGACTAGGCTCCAACTAAGCAATTCTTTAATTAAATTTGACTTTTTAAATTGTGTATTTTTTGAATGCCTAAACTACCCTTATTAATTTTCCTTATTAACAATAATATTTGTCAATTGTAGCATATGAAAATAAGGATCTTTCCAGCAAAAGATTGTTTTATCCAACTACTTAAAATGTCACAAAAACTGGACTGCTGTCCCTACTGACCAGCCACCGAAAAATAATTATTAGACTGACTTACACTTATCTAAAGTCTACGAAATTTTATATGCAGATACTAGACACACAGAGATACACTCACACAAATATTTGGGATTTTTGGAGTTGATTTTCTATTTAAATTAAATCGAACAAAAACAGAACAGTGACAGATTTTTGAGTAGTTCACAAATTAAGAAAAACGAGTTAGGGGAATTGCTATCCACCACCAAATAATCATGCAAACATGTTATGTTTCATTCAAACTCCTTTCATTTTCGGATGAAGATGCTCAAGTTGGCTCAATGTTAGAACCCAACCTATTACTCTTTCTTATGTAGTATGTTAAGAGAATGGCGTTTTCAACTTAATTTAGTCCCTAACATGCAATCTAGAATGGTGTGTTCATAGATTTAACAAGTAGAAATCATTAAGAACGAAAAGAGTTTGAGTCATCACAAGGCATCGTAAGTACTAGCGTTGTCTTACTTATCCTAGAAATTGATTCACATGTTAATCGCAATTAACAAGTACTACTCTAGAACATATGTAGGTCCTCATTCGACAAGGGCAGGCACACACATATTCATAGCATTAGAATCCTAGATATGCTTACTAAGTATGCATCCGTAGAAAACACAAAAAAAAAAATTCATCAATGAGACAAGTAGTGAACCAATTTTCATCCATTCGTAAAAGTAATTCAAACGAAATGTCATAACAAACTTGCAATCATATTCGGGGCTTCAAAACAGCCCCTAACTACTAAAAATTAGTTACACATAATTCTCAAATTAAACCAAAAGAAAGACATGAGTTTGAGAAGATAAAACCGAGAGAAGAGAATGCCAAGATTTCCTCCTTCCTTTCCTTTGTTCCCCAACGCAGCAGCCTTGCCTTTTTCCCTTGCTTTGCTTCTTTTTTTTCTATCTTTTTTTTCACACTTTTTCTCCTTTTTTGTTGCTGCAACCTGTAGGTCTTTTCTTCTTTTCTGCTGCCACAATTTTTTCTCCATAACTCACCCCACTAACAGCCATTTAGTGATGACAATAAGTGGGAGGAAATGCTAAAACAATTGTAACTCTTTGGGCAGCCTTTATGCCCATTACTCTCACTTAATTTTTCATTTCCTCTGATATTTGAATAGGTGTTAGCTGGCTTGTTCTTGGCTGAATCAGTTTTGGCTGTTAGTTTTATGGGATTTATTGCTTTCAATGCTTTCTTGTCAGTTACAAACTGTTTAGCCTCTTGGGAACCTTTCAGTGTTAGAACAGCCATAACTTTTTCTAGAAAAATGATATTTCCAAGCATATAAGGCTCATTCTCTAATTCATTCTGAGCTGTCCGTAATTTGCTTCCAAAGTCAGCTGACCTGCACAGGCAGTTTTGACGAATTTATTACTTCAAAATTCCACTTGTGTTATTTTTCTTTTCTTTACTTGACAAATCCTAAAAAAACACAAAAACAAAGTAAATAACTCAAAAATATAAGGAACTAACTAAGAAAAGACAAGTGAATTTGATATAAAATATATATAAATATAAGTTTATCAAATACCCCCACACTTAGCTTTTGCTAGTCCTCGAGCAAAACAAAGAAAACATGAAAAAGTAGCAACATGAAAAACATTAGCTTCCCGCTATGTGACCCTCATAGAATTTCATTCAAGAAAACAAATCATCAAGAACCTTAGCTAGTACCAAACAAGCTAATCCAAGCTCATCTTCCTTATGCAAATGTTAACAACTATCTTTTAATCATCCTTGAAGTGTAGTGTGTGTAATAGCCATGCTAATGCAATTTCAAGTTTTGTTTTAAAACACCACATGCAAACTAGTGACCTTCTCACGGTACATACACTCAATCACACATATGTTTAGTTTAAGGTGTTTCGCTCAAAGAATCAAATGTGAAAGATCTACCATAAGCTTGCATAAAGATCTCATCTCCACAATCATAATTGCAAAACTAAAATCAAGAGGACTTTTATTGGTTGTAATGAGGCTTAGGGAGAGGGTTATAGAAATGAAAGGATAGGTAAACACAAGTTCCAAGCTACATTGCAAGCAATTCTTTTGTTGAGATTTATAAGAACTCAAGCTCTCCAACCACTCTACTAATACCTCCAATCACACCCCTAAACTTTTTATTTGCTTTGTATACAATTTTTCTTTTTCTTTTTTCTTCTTCTTCTTCTTCTTCTTCTTCTTCTTTTTTTTTTTTTTTTTTTGAACCTAATTTTCGCACATAACTAAATACAAACATCAAATACCCCCACACTTATTCTTTTGCCAAACTCCTTCAAAGTACTTCACAAACATTTCTCATAAGACAATCTCACATTGCTCACTAGCTAGCTTGGAAAGGGTAAGGAAAAATGTTTAAGGTATAAGGGCAGACATATCTGGTGATAAGAAATAAAAGGCTTAACATATAGGCTCAAATTGGCAATCTAATGATATCATTTTTCTGTAGGAAACATGCTTATTTGGGCCATGGTGATAAACCTAATGCCTCTATCCTTTTCAAGTTCATGCAATCAATGACAAACATTTCGAAAGATCGTTACGCAAGTTCTAGAGATGTAAGTCACATAAGTTCATCACACATGAAAGAATAGGAGTGTATGAAAAATGCACACACTTTCAATAGGCTCAAAAATTCACATAGGTTGTATATGGTCACTATGTTCACATATGAAGCTTTAAATCATGCTTTAATTTCACATCAACAAGGCTATGTGCTTTTGGTTTTTCAAAGATGATTAAACATGTACAAGGCTAACAAGAGAATAAGGAATTTCACACATTACATGCTTACTAAGTTCTTGATCACCATGGTCCAAATTCAATCCGATTATATCATTGGGTCGGGAAACTAATAAAAATCTAATTCAAAACAATAAAGAAAATAAGACTATTTTTGAAATTTTCATTTTTAGAATTTTCTCTCTTTTTATTTTTTTATTTTTTTATTTTTTTAGAGTCAACAAAACTAATTAAGAAAACAAAAAAAAAAAAACAACAAGAAAGAAACAAATGAAACCAATTCTTAGTCAAAGGGACAAAAATTTTCAATTTGGTCATTTTTTCAATCCTTACCCCCAAACTTAAACTGGACATTGTCCCCAATGTCATAAAACACAATAATGCATAAAATAAAAATAAAATAAAATAGTAAGAAACAAAATAAAGGATTTGGACTGAAAACTTCCCCAATTTGCAATAAAATCAAGTGATGACCCCCAAACTTCAATTCTGCAATCAACTCCAAGGGTGGACATAACCAAAGATTCCTACAAAGAAAAAAAAATAATTCAGCTTAGCACACAAGAAAACTCAGAAAACAAAACAAACGAAAAATTGAAAATGACATAAAAAGACAATGAATAGAAATATTGGGTTGCCTCCCAATAAGCGCTTGCTTTTACGTCCGCAGCCGGACAGTACCAAGAGCAATCATTAGCGATGGAGGGAGTCACTTTTG